TGTAGCTTTCCAAGACTGAAGCTTATGGGACAAGAGAGAAGCCCCCTCTTCTTTCTCTCCTTCCTCTTTGCCAGTTACCTGTCCTCAAAATGGAAGTGAAAAGGAGGGGGTAGTTTCCAGATCAAAGCTTGCCAGCAGGCTGTAAAAGAAGCATCATCAGCACGTGAAAGTGTGTTTCTCTGGCCACTGTGTTGCTGGGATGTGTGTTTTCAAGGGGCGGGTCTCTATCGGGGGTAAGAACCACCTGGGCTCATAAGCGGCTACCTGGTTCTCCAGGTGCACCTCATACCAACTTCCTCTCTACCTGCCAGCCAATGTTTCTCTGACCTCACTGTGGTGTTACGAATCCCTTGGGCACCTGGGGCGCTATAAAAACCTCAAGGCTCCAGGCCCTATCCTAGACCTACTGAATCAGAGTCTACAAGGGAAGGACCTAGAAGAATATATGTTTAACAAGTGGCCCCAAGTGATTCTTGTCAAGGAATCACCCCATCCTGCTGGTCTTAAAAGTTTCCTAGGACATTCCAAGGCCCCTTCTGCCTCAGAATTGTTACATATGCTATTTTTTCTCCATTAAAAGTTCTTTCTCACTCTGTACTCTTAGCTAATGCCTACTTCTCATAATTTCATGACTCAGATAACGATTTTTTCAAAAAGACCATCCTTGGCCACCACTATCACCATCTAAATCAAGTTCCTCTCTTTCATTCTCGTAACACCTTAGCATTTATCACATAGTTTGTATCTTGTGTATTTACTTAGTGTCTCTCTCCCTACTTGTACCTAGCACAGAGAAAGCTTAATATTTTTTTGAGTGAATGGAAAAATAGAATTGTTGAGAGAGAGATACTGAAGGTTACTTTGGATGCTGCTCAACAACAAAAAAAATAACTGAGCCTATGAAAACTTTATTCTCCCAAGTAAAATTTTGACATGTCAACTAAAGTCAAGGTGAGGGCCGTGGTGGTTCAGTGGTAGAATTCTTACCTTTCATACCAGAGACCCAGGTTTGATTTCCTGGCCAGTGCACCTCATGTGTCTGTCAGAGGAGGCTTGTGTGTTACTATGATGCTGAACAGATTTCAGCGGAGCTTCCAAGCTAAGGTGGACTAGGAAGAGAGGCCTGGTGATCTGCTTCCAAAAATCAGCCATTGAAAACCCTATGGATCATGAAAGTCCAGTCTGCAACCAATCATGGGGATGTCACAGGACCAAGCAGAGTTTCATTATGTTGTGTATGGAGTTGACATGAGTCAGGGACTGACTCACAGCAGCTAACAACACCAACAACAAAATAAAGGTTCATGGACCCAAAAAATAGGTGTATTTATGGAGGGCAATGAGTCAGATTATTGTAAAAAATGTGCATTAAATACCCGATGTATACAAAATGCAGTGTTAGGAGCTGTGGATATAACAGTGAATAAAACTGATATAATCTCTGCCCTCGTGGAGCTTACATTCTAGCAAGGATGTCAGCTATTAAGCAGCCATTTACACAATTTAATACGTATAATTTTAATAAATGTAATGAAAGAGAATTAGAGCTGTTAGAGCCTATAACAGGGAGATCTGACGTGGTCTATAGGGCATCAGGCTAGTGGTAGAATTTCTGAGACATGTGGCTGGGGAACCTCCGGCCAAAGGATCAAATACGCTCTGTCCCATCTCCCGTCAAAGTTGGCATGAGGGGAGGTGCCTCTACACTGGAGTTTCTCAACCTTGGCACTATTGACATTTTGGAATACATAAGTGTTTGTTGTGGGGGCTGTCCTGTGTACTGTAGAATGTTGTAGCATCATCCCTGGCACTATCCACTAGCTGTCAGTCACAAGCCACAGTTGCTAGAAAATGCCAAATGTTCCTTGAAGGGACGAAACTCATTCTTCCTGCCTCCCCACATTAAGAGCCACTGCTCTACCTGAATCTTAGTTTAAAAAAAAAAAAAGTAGATAACCAAAAGAGACCTACATAAGTGGAAAAACATTCCTTGCTCATGGATAGGAAGACTCAACATTGTGAAAATATCAGTTCTATCTAAAGCGATCTATAGATACAATACAATCCTGATCCAAATTCCATCAGCCTTTTTTACTGAGATGGAGAAAGAGATCACCAACTTCATTTGGAAAGGGAGAGGTCCCAGATTAAGTAAAGCATTACTGAAGAAGAAGAACAAACTGGGAGGCCTCACACTACCTCATTTTAGAGCCTATTATACAGCCACGGTAGTCAAAACGGCCTGGTACTGGTACAACAACAGATACATAGACCAATGAAACAGAATTGAGAATCCAGACATAAATTCATCCACCTATGAGCAGCTCATATTTGACAAAGGCCCAAAGTCCGCTAGTTGGGGAGAAGACAGTCTCTTTAACAAATGGTGCTGGCATAACTGGATATCCATCTGCAAAAAAAAAAAAAAATGAAACAAGACCCATACTTCACACCATGTACAAAACTAACTCAAAATAGATCAAAGACCTAAATATACAATCTAAAACGATAAAGAGCATGGAAGAAAAAATAGGGACAATGCTAGGAGCCCTAATCCACGGCATAAACAGAATACAAAACATTGCCAACAATGCACAAACACCGAAAGAGAAACCAGATAACTGGGAGCTCCTAAAAATCAAACACTTATGCTCACCAAAAGAGTAAAAAGTCAACCTACAGACTGGGAAAAAAATTTGGCTACGACAAATCCGATCAGCGTCTAATCTCTAAAATCTACAAGATACTGCAAAACTTCAACAACAAAAAGACAAATAACCCAACTAAAAAATGGGCAAAGGATATGAACAGGCACTTCGCCAAAGAAGACATTCAGGCGGCTAACAGACACATGAGGAAATGCTCACGATCCTTACCCATTAGCGAAATGCAAATCAAAACTACAATGAGATACCATCCCACCCCAACAAGGCTAGCATTAATCCAAAAAAGACAAAATAATAAATGTTGGAGAGGTTGTGGAGAGACTGGGACACTTATACACTGTTGGTGGGAATGTAAAATGGTACAACCACTTTGGAAATCAATTTGGTGCTTCCTTAAGAAGCTAGAAATAGAAGTACCATACAATCCAGCAATCCTGCTCCTTGGAATATGTCCTAGAGAAATAAGAGCCGTCACATGAATAGATGTATGCACACCCGTGTTCATTGCAGCACTGTTCACGATACCAAAAAGGTGGAAACAACCTAGGTGCCCATCAACGGACAAATGGATAAACGAATTATTGTATATTCACACAATGGAATACTGTGCAACGATAAAGAACAATGAAGCCGCAAAACATCTCATGGATGAAACTGGCAGGCATTATGCTGAGTGAAACTAGTCACAAAAGGACAAATATTGTATGAGACCACTATTATAAGGACTCAAGAAAAGGTTTAAACACAGAAGAAAACATTCTTTCATGGTTACGAGAGTGGGGAGGTAGGGAGAGGGGTATTCACTAACTAGATGGTAGACAAAAATTATCTTCAGTGAAGGGAAAGGCAACACACACTACAGGGGAAGTCAGCAAAACTGGACTAAACCAAAAGCTAAGAAGTTTCCTGAATGCAACCAGACACTTCAAGGGACAGAGTAGCAGGGGTGGAGGTCTGAGGACCACGGTTTCAGGGGACATCTAGGTCAATTGGCATAACAAAGTTTATTAAGAAAATGTTCTGCATCCCACTTTGGTGAGTGGCATCTGGGGTCTTAAAAGCTAG